AAAAAAATCAAGTTGGATAAGGTAAAGGTTTAATGCAGATCTGGGCGTTATTCATTTCTTACATGAGCAGATATCTCTGTCAAGATAAATTCTTTATGATAAATATTCTGATATAAGCTTTAAAGTATCAATATAAAGAATTGAATTAATTGATACTAAAATCAGTTCTTTCCAACCTGAATAGGTATCCTTAAAATAACATCAAAATTTGTAAATACATTTTTAGAGATCTTTACAAACCAATAATGATAAAAAATAACCTCTTTTGTTGACAGTAGTAAATATCATAATATTTTGTTTCCACTATTAACATCAATCTGCTCTTTCAAAACATATTTCAAATTATTTTACTTACCCCTGAGCATCCAATTCCATGATATGTGACACTTTATTCCATCCAAACCCAACAAATCTTTGATCATAGTCTGTGATATTTGAACTCACAACCACATAAGGCTCAAAATCGGATTCCCAGCTTACCTATAAAGAAAAAAAAATGTTTTTGAGAAACAGTGCAATTTTTGCAGCAAAACTTTGTTTTTATGGATTTTTTTTACTGCTTTATTTGGAAATGTACATAAGTTTTGCATCAGCATCTGCTGTCATAAAAAGAGACTTATGAAACCATCCCTACCTTGTAAGGTGTAGTAGCACTTCTCCATTTAGCAAAATTTGTTGGTGCATGTCCTTGAGGCCACACATGGAATCTAAAACAGGATTAACTACAGGGTATATTTAACCATCAGGTCTGCAAAACTTAAATATTGCACTTGCTGAGGTGAATTCAATTATAATATATTTTTTTTTAAATAAACTTTTACTTCATTTTTAAGAAAAAAAGTGGCTGAGAAGCCAATTAAACCAATCCAACTGCCAGCACTGACAGTAAACTCTTGACCAATTCCATGTTTTTGAAGGGCAATAAACATAGTGCTATCAATTTCTTATATGTCACTGCCTACTTCACTTACCTAAATGTAAACAATGTTGCCATATCCAACATGGACAACAGGTCTGCTTTTGACTTTGGGAATGTCAGTCTATACCTCTGTGTCTCAAAGGCTGGCACTATCAATGCTTTCTTCTCCACCGTAATATCCATCATGGACGTGGCTTTCTTTAAATAGTCGTACAGACCATACATGGGTAGGAAATCGATGTCTGAGAGGAACATGTATGGAGTGTTCACCTGACGCACTGCTACATTGCGCAAGTAGTTTACTGGGAAGAATTGCTGAAAAGAAAAATCACAGTAATCATTGTTAGTGATTTGCTGTCTTTTCAGATGGAAAATGATAAACCAGGTACTTTTCCCTGACTATAAACACTTGCGAAATACTTACATAATCACAACGTTATATCCAAACAAATAACATCTTGTTAATAACTAATATTACACTCACCCCATCCTTATAAACCACATGATATCCTATATTCTTCCTGGCCATGAGGGTATCGGATCCTAAAGCATATCTAAGGAAAGCCTGTGCCTCAGCATCTGACATATACAGAGCCAGGCTTATTGGGCCTTCCCAGTGCTTACATATAGCCTCCAACATCTGCAGTCTGTCCATACTTAGCTGGGCCACAAGGGTCACATCATCAGCGGACGGGGTGTAGTCGTAGTCGATGTAATACAAGTGGGTCCTTAGGACCAGGGCACCTTGGCGACGAAATTCGTAGCATTCGTCATCTTCGTTGATTGCAACAAGCTGGGGAATATCAAGTGGTGATTTAAGTTGATATAAACCATATTATTCTTATTATTGCTGTTTTATGAAAAGTAATATAGTTAAATAAAATAATCAAACATTCATAAAATATCAATCTAGTCCACAAACATAGGCGCAGACAACTGCACACTTCATTATCATGACTACTGTGAATAATGTGAAATGCTTGCTGCCAAACTGATTATTAATGTCAACATCATGTTATCAACTGTGAAATCAAAATATTACAGTTGTTCAACATGACAGCAGGGAACATTGTCATTTTGATGTTTATTTTCTATTTACTTTGCTGTCCAATTCGTTGGGTGTAGAGGTAGCACAACCAAAGAGCTCTCTCCTGAGCAAGTTGCCGTCATATTCCAAAAAAGTGAGGTGAAGATTCCTGAAGAACTCAACATGCTTGTTCTTCACCAGTAGTTTGACTGGAGAATTCCAATGAATTATCTGAAAGAACACCACAAAATATCTATAAATGCACTGCACTCAACTTTTAAGTACCCAGCATTTATTTTAGACAAGGCAGCAAAGCTGTCAAATGTACAGACAAAGAACAGAAAATAAAGATGCAAATAAGTGAAAAATTAAATTTTCACAAAAAACTGTTAAATTGCCAGAAAAAGTTACCAAACAGACTGCGTTGCCTATTGAAGCTGTATGTTAGACCCATGTTTCTTTCCTGTAAGTTTGAGAACAGTAAGTGACATGATTTCCCTTAAATGGTCATCATGGAAGCAGTGCCCAAAATGGGGGTTTCTTCAAATTTTGATGCAACGTTACATAATGTTTAACAGGATAATAACCATCAAATGTTATTAATAAAATATTAGTAACATGGACATTCAGAAAA